TTGCGTCGATTGGATTAGTTAACTCGGTCCGTATGTTAAGCTCGAGAATAGAATTTTTTCGTGTTTTTTTTTTTAACTTTTAGCCTTAGCTAGACACATTAAAGTTTGAGTTCGGCTTCGTTAACATTTATAATTGAGTTGAGTTCGAACTCATTTATCGGCTTATTAAGTTAACAAGACTTGATAAGGCTTGAGTCTGAACTCCATTATTAGAAACATGAACTCGACTCGCCCTCCTCTTGTTTGGAAGTACTATTCTTCCTTTAATATTGTAGTGAAACAATCCAAAAGATATAATTACTTTAATTATTTGTATTTAATATTTTGGATTTGATCATCGTTTGACTATGTATCAATATAAACTTCACCTAATGAGCATTATCACAATATACAACAGAGGATTTGGTCTATACTTATTTCCTAGTACCAAAGTCTTGTCAAATAGTAAAATGGTGATTAAAACGGAATAGTATTAAGTCACTTTTCAACAAATATGGCTTGACTTTTAACAGTGGAAATTATTGGTCATGAATTATGATATTAGTTGAACATTGAGCAGTTGAACATATTCGCACATGATTTAAAATGCAAATTATATGTAATTTATGAGAAATGTTATGGTTCCGATACGGTCATCTCGTCAGGTGTTTTAATCGTTGAATTATTTATCATATACTAACTACATATGTATCCAATGATTAAAACTCCCGTAACGAGACGGTAACATCTCCCGTAACTTATATAATTTTTTTTTTTTTTTATATATATCTTCACTTTGACATTTCATTTGCAACCTCACCGACATTCGTATCTTCGTTATAAATTCGCAATTCACAAAATCATGACAATGATAGTTGTCGCTTAGAAAGTCTAAAGAAAAATGTTAAACCCACTAATTCATATTGAAAATTAAATGAAAAACGGTCCATTACGTCTCGTGGAAAAATTACAAGAAAAAACGCGTAATGTTCATTCACTTTTTTTTTTTTTTTCTAAATTACACATAATATATGTACGCATATATTTATAATTTCAAAATTGGTCTTATAACTTAGCCACACTCCAAAAAACCATCCCGATATAGACCACTTTCAAAATTTAATAAAATTCGGTCATTTTTATTCGGAACATATATAGATTAAAATGTGATAAAAAAAGGAACAAATTTGATTAAAAAATGACAAATTTTGATTAAATTTTGGAATTATAGGACCAATTTTGAAAGTGGTCAATATCGAGGTGGTTTTTGGACTATGCATTTATAAGACCAATTTTAAAATTATCCCCACATACATGCATACGTAACATACACGTTTTAGATTTATTCATTTATTCTAGATTACACATGGTATATAAATCAATATTTTCAAGAATATTTATGACATTTTATCGCCTTTCTGAAGTTTGACCGCGTTTTGAAAAAAAAAAAATCATTATTTTCGCTTTGAATTAATTAAGCGTTTATTTTGATTTCATAATTTTCTCCCCTTGCAAAATAATAAAATGCCTCACTTTATTAACCATCATGCTTTTAAAAGTCAATATACCAAATACATAATGGTATTGCACCATTAATACAACATATGTTTTTCATAATAATTACTCCATTTTTTTTTTTTTAAAAAAAACCATCTAATTATTAATTAATTATATATTTGTGGTGTAGTTTTATCTTATGGAGATAGCATATGTTTCAGTGTAGAAAAGATCGACATGATTTTTTTT